ACGTAAATGGGCTCTCGAAATCCTAGAGCAGAGAAGGCCATGGGTTCACAGTCTCCATAGGACCGACAAGTTAGAGCCCCTTGCTGAGGCTAAGGAAATATTTGAGACTGCCAGAGTTCGGGCAAGGAAACAGTCACCAAATCTTAAGCACCCGTTTGCCTGCATTGACGTCATTGAAACGGGTGTCGTCTCTGGCCCTCGTGCTGGACTTCGGAAGGTTTCTCATCTTCCATTTCATTCCTTTTCATCTTTAAATCGTAGTCGCTTCATCTCTCTCTCTATATCTTGTTCGGGACATTGCAGGAGGTTGAAGAATTTCAGGGACTCCTACATACTGATACTTGTAAAAGCTTAATTCATATTTTCTTTGCCCAGCGTTCGACAACGAAGGTTAGAAAACAAAGGACGGACATGAAAGTTCAATCGGGTTTATAGAAGTGGCAGCACATTAATGAGTATTCTGCTAACTAATTCAGAAGAATTGTTCTTGAACTCTTGATCTTGGGATGTTCATGGTTTTATTATCTATGGGGGCTCGATCTCACTGGCTAGAACTAGAATAACAACAGTGTTCAATACTAAAGTCGAGAAATTCTATAGCTCAAGATTGAACCAGAATACTATAGCTCAGTAGTTCTAGCTAATTTGTTAGTGGCTGGCCATATTATCCCCTGCATGTAAACATTTATTATCTCCTAATGTTCGACAGGTACCCGGGGTTACTGATCTTGGTTTGGCACCAAGAAGAATCACGAAAGTTGCTATCGTGGGAGGAGGATTAATGGGATCTGGAATAGCTACAGCATTGATTCTTAGCAACTATCCTGTAATACTTAATGAAGTGAACGATGAGTTCTTGCAGGCCGGCATTGATAGAGTCAGGGGTACCCCTAGAAACTAATGATTTTGACATGCTTTTGTACTCCACAATTCAATTTGCAGCTTTTTTTGAACTCATGATTTGATTTATTCTCCAACAGCAAACCTACAAAGCCGAGTCGAAAAAGGGAATATGACTAGAGAGAATTTTGAGACGACTATTTCTTTACTCAAGGGAGTTCTTGACTATGAAAGTTTTAAAGATGTGGATATGGTGATAGAGGTACTTCGGGCTGCTTTTCTCTTTTCTAGACAGGTCGAGGGCAATAGCTAATAGCTAATGTAGATTTTCGTGTTCTTGACACAGGCTGTTACCGAGAATGTTTCTTTGAAGCAACAGATCTTTGTTGATCTTGAGAAATATTGCCCACCACATTGTATGCTTGCTACTAATACTTCCACAATAGATCTGGAGTTGATTGGAGAGAGAACGAAGTCTCGTGACAGAATTATTGGAGCCCATTTCTTCAGGTAAATCCACATCCCCCCCCTCCCC